CCGGGCCTGGGAGGAGCACCCTCGGCCCCGCCCGCGCCCCGCCCCCTAGGCAAGTCCAGCCGAGCTCCGAGCGCGCCCCTTCTTCCCGGCGCTGTCGCCTCTCTATGCCCCTTGGGATCCTCGCCAGTACGTAGGCTCTGCTGGATCGTTCGAATCTCGACCCCGCCACCTTCTAGTCCCGCGACCTTGGGCAAGTCGCTCTACCTTTCCGAACTTTAGTTTCCTGTAAAACAAAAACAACAATGACAGCTGTTTATTGTGCCAGGCACTGTTTTAGGCTCTCTCTTTTTTTTTTGAGTTGTAGTCTCCCTCTGTCGCCCAGGCTAGGGTGCAGTGGCACGCTCATGGCCACCCCAACGTGGACCTGCTGGGCTCCGGCGGTCCTTCCGCCTCAGCCTTCCGAGCAGCCGTAACTACAGGCGCGCGCTACCACGCCCGGCTAATTTTTTATTTATTGTAGAGACGAGGTCTCGCCAAGTTGCCCAGGCTGGTCTCGAACCCGCGAACTCAGGCAATCCACTCGTCTCGGCCTCCCAAAGTGTTGGGATTATAGGCTGAACCACCAAGCCCGGCCTGTTTTAGGCTCTTTATGGGAATTAGCTCGTTTAAATAAACTTCACAGTAACATTTTTAGGTAGGAATTGTTGCACACGCACTTTATGGAAAATAATGGGAGGCACAGACAGATGAAGAAACCTGCTCAAGATCACGCAGCTAGGAGGTGATGACAGGTGCCAGGATTTAAACCCGGGCTCAAGAAGCGACAACAGAAGCTAAGACTTTTAGGGTGCTTATCGGATGCCAGGTCCCGTTAGTATTGTACCTGCACTAACTCGTTTAATTCTCGCCTCAACCCAGTAACAACGACTGAAAAAGTTCTGCCCATTTTGCAAATGCGGAAACTTAAGCAGAGTGTTAAGAACAAGTAGCCAAGCAAGCTGAGATTGGAACCCAGGCAGCTGGGGCCACTATGCTCTACTGCCTTCACACGACGGTGAGACCCCTACTGAGTGCTTACTACGTGAGAGTAGCTGCTTTGCACACTTTCCAAGCATTCTTGTTATCTGATCTTTGCTCTATCTTGGAAACTAAGATTCTTATTTAACAGGTAAGGAAAGTGAGGCCCCGAGAGTTTAATTACTCAGAGCATGTAGTGAGACTGAGAATCAATCTTAGTAAATTCAGTTGCAGAGCCTGAGTTATTCCCGCCAGGTGCTCTGAAGCAGTGTGTATACAGAACCCAGCACACAGACGAGGTTCAATAGGTGTTGGGTTTCTCCGCTTACCGCCCCTTTTCTGAGCCACAACTTCCTCATCTGTGAAATGGGACTAGTGACGTGTCCTCTCCTAGGGGATCCGCAGTGATTAAGGCCCCCAGTACAACACGATCAGCGCGCTTCCTTTCGTCCATGCGTTTTGATCCCGCCGCCCACCGTAGGTGGCATGATTGATTGGCTAGTAGCTATCATGTGACATGCCCATCCACTCTGCCAACATGGCGGCGCTCACGTCCTAATTCGGGAAACGTGCGCCGAAACTAGGTTGTTTATCTGTGCTGTAGCAAAAGGTGAGGAGGGGCTCGCCATAGTGGGGCGGGATCCGAACTGGGGGCGGGTCCGCACGGGGGCTTCCGACTACACAGGGGCCAGTCCCTGCGAAAACGGGAGATGTCAGTCTACCGAGGCCGCAGGGTCTCCTTACAGATGAGTAGGCTCAGGAGTGCAGCTCTCTAATACTCTCTCTGTGCCCTCTCCTGCCCCCCAAACCAGGCTTGGCGGGCAGAGGCGCCCGCGGATGTCCCATGCGAGGATCGCTCTGTGGCTAAACCTCAGTCTCCGCTCCGCCCGCAGTCTTTGTAGAGCCCGATTAATGGAAGGGCAGCCCCAAGGGCCGCCGAATCCAGCTGTGATGGAGAACGGCACCGGGCCGTGCGGAGAAGAGCGCCCACGTGAGGTCCAGGAGACGATAGTCACCGAGGGGGCCGCCAAGATTGCCTTCCCCAGCGCCAACGAGGTCTTTTACAACCCAGTGCAGGAGTTCAACCGGGACCTGACGTGAGCAGGGGTCAGGGATCGGCCTGGCAGGAGGAGTGGGTCGATGAAGACGCGGGAGTATGTGCTAATCCTCCGTCTCCCACCAGATGTGCTGTGATCACCGAGTTTGCTCGCATTCAGCTTGGAGCCAAAGGAATCCAAAGTGAGTGGAGGTCCAGGCTCCTCTTGGGCGGGGGAGTCACACAAAGCCTTCTTCCTGCCTGGGCTCCTCTCCCCCAACACTCCAGAAAGGCCCCAACCATATAGCAGGTCCTGGACTCACTCCTTCAGCCTTTGTCCAGGGGCTTTGGGGAAGATTTTCTTCCACCGGTCTTCTGCATTCTGGAGATTAATGGGTGGTTTCTCAGAGGGTGTTTTAATAACTTCTGACTTTTGCCTTTGGGTGACTGCAGTCAAGGTGCCTGGTGAGAAGGAAATGCAAAAGGTGATCGTGGACTTGTCGGAGCAAGAGGAGGAAAAGGTTGAACCGAAAGGGGGTGAAAACCTGGCCCCAGGAGAACCTCAAACAGCTGCCGCTGGGGAGATCTGTGAGGTGGGACCTGAGCAGAGGAGGTGGCAGTCCTGGAATGAGTGGGTAGCAGAGGAAGGAGGGTTCCTGGTAGGGTTATAGAAGGTGGGTGGTGAGGGCTCCTTGGGGCCCAGAAGAAGAAGGAACTTGAGATGTGAGTGGGACTCCTTGCTGACTCCAATAGGAAGGCCTACGGGTGCTGGAGGGCCTGGCAGCTTCAGGCCTACGTTCCATCCGATTTGCGCGAGAGGTGCCTGGGCTCCGATCTGTGGTTGCCAACGATGCCTCTGCCCGGGCTGTGGACCTCATACGTCAGAATGTGCAGCTCAATCATGTGGCCCATCTGGTACAACCCAGCCAGGCGGATGCCCGGTAGGTTCTGGGCAGCCCAGCCTAGTTCTGGTGCGAGGCTGCCTGGGGTCAAATTCTGACTCTGTCTTATTCTTGCTGTATGACCTCGAACGAGTGACTTAGCCTCTTTGAGCCCCAGTTTCTTATCTGCCAGATGAGTGCCATAGTTTTACATGGGTTGCTGTGGGTACTAAGTAATAATGATTGTATAGCTCATATTCTGTGTCAGAAATAAGTAGCATTCTGGTTTCCATTTTAGGCTTAATTTCTTGTTTGTTTTTTTACATTGGAAAATATCATTTATTTAGAAAGTAAGTTGGAGAGAGAGAGAGAGAGACAGACAGAGACAGATGAGATTCATCTCCCTAAGGTAGGGGAGGGGGCCAAAGCTTAGGAAACATGTCCTGGCCAGTGCTCAAAGAGCCAAGTGGCCATACCAGGCTTAATTTCTTGTACTTCCCCCCTACCTTTTTTTTTTTGAGTCTGGGTCTCATGGTCCTGGGCCCAGGTGATCTTCCTGCCTCAGCTTCCCAAATAGCTGGGGCGACAGGCATATGCCACCATGCCTGGGTCATTTAAAAAAAAATTTTGGCCAGGCTCGGTGGCTCAGCCTGTAATCCCACGCCTTTGTGAGGCTGAGGTGAGTGGATTGCCTGAGCCCGCGGGTTCAAGACCCACCTGGGCAGTGAGACCTCATCTCTACAATAAATCAAAAAATCAGCCGGGCGTGGTAGTGCATGCCTGTAATTCCGGCTACTCGGAAGGCTGAGGCGGAAGGATCGCCGGAGCCCAGCAGGTCGAGGCTGCGGTGGC